TATATTCTCTGGATTCTAAACCCTTATCAGAAATACGATTTGCAAATATTTTCTCCCATGTTGTGGGTCGTCCAGGGTTTTTGTTGTACTTAGCTGGAGGAGTAGGGAAAAATACATCTACCTCATCTCCCTGGAAGTAAATGTCTCCCAAACTGGTTCTTAATCACTTTGGCAGGGTCAAAGTGTGCTTCATTGCTTAAAACTGAAAGTTTATTTTAAAGTCACTGTGGGAGAGAAATCTTATCCTAGTTTTCAGTTTCTTTTGTTGTTTCAAATTAAATTATTTTAAAGACAATTTAGGGGAAAGATTGGATTTTAATTTTTTTTTATTCATTTTTATGACTTACCTCCCTGTGTATTCGGTATAATAGCCTGTGTGTTATATGCCAAGATATGCAGATCCCTTCAGCCCTCTGGGTAGCCATCAGAGCCTGAGACAATGCAAACCTGTGTTCTGTCCAGATAGTAACACTTATATGTGTGCCATAAGGTGAAAAGGGTGAGTAGTCCTGGTTAAGAAAACACAAGAATGACCTTATGGCCCAAGTGAGAGTAAAGAGTTCCCATCTGTGGGATGTTTTTCAGCTCTGCCATCAGAGCAGTAGAAATAAGCACAGGAATGAGTGAGTGTTTCTCATTTCTAGGCTAAATAGATAGGTCTTTAATCTTTGCTTACCAAGCAGTGAGTAATTCAGAGTTAATCACAAGAAATCAAGAATTTCGTAGTTATCTGCTGTCTTCGCCCAAATCACCTTCTACTGAGTTCTTCAAAGACTGATACCTTCTTCCTGGATAAAGACTGTTTTTTAATTCTCTACTTCTGATTCTACGTCTCTTATAAACTCAAACACCAGTGTATAGCCGTGGCTAGAAATATCAGAATTACTTTGAACTTCAACTATTTCTTTTGTTCCATAGGTGCCTGGGTGTATCTTACCAGCTCCCCAGCATTGCCAGACTGTGCCAGGAATGGATTATGCTTCTGATGAAATCCCTGGCGGCGTTTTGTTCAGTGTCCACTGCAGGGTTCTCGTGTATTCTCAAGCACCCTCTCTGGGCTTCTGTTCTGTAGCACCACGGGCTGATTAAGGAACACTTTCCAAACCCCAGGGCTCTCCCTTTGTTAGTCTCCTGCCCTCTTTCATTGCTTGTATTATCCTCTCATTTCACTCTATTTTCAGTCTAATTTCAAATTTCTTTAGCTTTCTAAAATTCTGTAGATTTGCTCCACTCAGTGTGTTCTGGCCTTATTTTTTTTTTTAATTCACCTTTTATTATCTCTACACAAACTTGTAGTTTCTTTTTTCTTTAGTCTTTACTTTTCCTGAATTTTTTGCTAATAGCCTTGATCTTTAGCAGTCAAACTCATTACAGACTAGGTACTCTTCATTTTTTTCAGTATTTAATTCTGTTTCTTATGTCAAAGGAAGAAACGTATGTGAAAGCCTTTTACAAACCAGAAAGCACTATACACTCGTATAACTTATTGAGATTAACAAAGGACCACTGTGCCTCTTTTCACGCTTTCTGCTCCTTCTGAGCCAAAAGAACTTCTCCATAGAGGAGGGGAATATTGAAGAAAAATAAAGCAATGGAGTTGTCTCTTAGCAACCAAGTCCGTGCCTTATAAATCTTACGTTAGATTACTGCTGCTCAAAATCACTTGCTTTTCTTACTGGCTTAGTACAAATAATGTTATTAAATTATAGGAAAAGAAAGGAAAAATCTACTGAATGAGTCATTCAGTTCATGGGCTGTGCTCTATCTTTGCATAACACTATTGATATAGTTGGGTTGTCTCTTTCCCTTGATTCAAATTGTAAAACTTTTAAAATATATCTTTTGCTGCAACTTAAGTTATATACTACATAGAAACTAAATGCCACCTTATACATTTCTAGGTTGCCTGACTCCTGAAACAAGATGGGTCGGATAGGTAGCATATAACGTGTACTGCATATAAATCAGGTTGTACATTTAAAGGAAATCAGATGTACAGAAACTCAAACCAAATTGGGGTACGATTATTTGCATTATAAAAATAACTCATTAGGAGGATTCTTCAGATAGCAGATCTTCATAGTATATTTTATTGAGCAAATATTTGTTAGTGCCTCCTGTGCTAGACAGTGGAAGAGATGAAGATATTCTGTGTGTGTGTGTGTGTGTGTGTGTGTGTGTGTGTGTGTGTGTGTAAATAGCCTCGGGCTTTCCCGGTAATAAGGTAGATAAGACTTGCACACAAATAAGGGAGTAAAATGATAAATGCCTATGACTGGTAAGCCAGGCGCTGTGGAGGTTCAGGGGACGAACAGGTCACCCCAAGCTGGGTGAACTATTATGATTACATGGACAAAGCGACACATTCAAGAACCCAAGGCTAGCAGATATCTTGTCAAGTTTGGTAGTTAAGGCAAGAGGGAAGAGGTAGGTAAGACGGTGCCCTCAGCACTAGAGCAAGGAGTTTAAATTTTAGCCAGTAAGCAATGGGGAGCCACTGACTTTTTTAAAAATCAAAGTCTGGTCTAGGAAGTCTATCTCGCAATAATGTGTAATTTTAATTTTTTTGAAAACTGGTTTGCTGATAGTCCTTTAGGCTCCTTTTGTATAAAACAAAGATGTGTTTATAAGAGTCAATTATAGAATTGTTTCATTTCTGGTCTCTTTAAAAGGTAGCCAAAAAACTATTTTCAGATGAAATTAGATCTGGTACAATAAGCTGCTTAGTTAAGATATAAGCATTGTATGAAGTGGGGTAGAGTACTACTTTGCACGCGTTCTCAGATCACTTTTAGGGAATTTTGTGTCGATGAGTCAGCCGTCCTACTGTCTCATTTCTCCAGCTGGGACAATGCAGAATTCCACCATTTTCTTTTTTTCTTTCTACTTGGATAGAATAAATATCTTTAGTGCAAACAGCTTCTTACAATAGCCCTCTTAGATGTGTTCTTAATTTGGCCAACTATTTGCCTACCTGTGCAGAAGACTGTTTCCCTGCCTTCTCCTCTAGCAGGAAAAACACACAGTAGGACTGACAGCTTGTGAAGCGCTGCTGTGCAGAGATGAATGGCCGTGTAAACACTCTGAAAATGCTGATAACTGACTGAGAAATGGACCTGAGACCCTTTGTTAGTGGAAGTGCAGGGCTTTAATAATGAAGACTGTGTAATAAGGTTGGCTGTCGTTTCCCATGCAGTGTGCCTCGGGGGGCTTAGAGCATGAGCTGCTTCCCCCTGCTTCTGTGAAGGAAGCCGCACGCCCTGCATATGCACCTCACAGTGAATCCGGGTTTTTACACCGCACAACTGGAGAAGCAGGGTGTTTCCGTGCGCCTGGGAGCCTAACGGGGCCACTGCGTTCATGTAGCTGTGCGCTGGCCCTGTGGCTGGCTGGCTGCACTGCCCTGGCCCAGAGAAACGGCCCTGTCAACACGCGGCTGCCGGGACTCGGGCACATGTGACCCAACACCATTCTGGAAAATAGTTTCAGAATAAGACTGGGGGTGCTGTTTTCTACCCCTACTGTGCTGACCACACCGAGCTCCCACCTGAGTTCAGAGTTGCAGGGAGAGGGGTATGTGCCTGGGAAGGATTCATGGTTTCCACTCTGGAGATCTGGTCGCATCTCGAGTCTGTTCCAGCCTGAAGAACCTAGGAAAGATCATATTTGGTTTTAATCCTAGCCTTTGGTGCTATGTGGACCTGTTCTGAGACATCCTCAGTATCTCCTTTGAGAAGGCTCAGGCAGTTATGTCTCTGAGCTTTCTGGAAGAGATAGAGTCTGGCTCTAGGACTGCACACTGAGTCCCATCCCAGAGAGTATGTGTCTTAAGATGAAAAAAAAATTTTTTAATTCAGTGGAATTTTATTCCATGATGAATTCATGGTAAAGGTGTAATAATAACAAATGACATGAGTTGTTTCTGAAAATGTATTTTGGGTTTTAGAGTAAGACTTTTTTTTCTCTGCTGCTGACTTAAACATGAAGAAAATTTCAGAATAATCCTTACAAACAGCAGTTCGTGCCATTAATTGAAAGCATTTCTTTTATCTGGAGTTGGGACTGAATCTGACTAGCTCTTCCTCAAGGCTTAAAAGTTAGGAGCACAGTTTTAGAAGTGAGAAATTATTTTGAATGTTTTCCCTCTTTGCAATAGCTCGTAGGTGCCAGATAGAGCTTGCTGTGTTGACTTGAATCAAATTAAAGCATGTGCAGTAAAAATCACCCCTGGCTTGAGAACTAGACTGTAGTTCATTCAGAAACCAGAACGATCCTGGCCCAGTTTTAATGTACGAAAACTCTCCAACCTACATTGGCTGGAGCCTAGTATTGTAGAACCAGGCTATAAAACATGCAGGCTGGGGACTCTGCACAGTGTGGGAATCTGCTGCTATTTCTCAGCAAATCAAATCCACAGTGAATCCTGGTGTGCAGACTGTGTGGTCTAGTTCAGGCTGCAACATCAGCATGAATAGTGGAGGCCAAGTTTAGGAAAGAGGGAAACCACAAGACTAAGTGGAGAGAAAGGGTTGCTTGGGCAGCCACAACGGCACATTTTAGACATTTGAAGATCACTGCTGCTTTCTTTCTCTTCCTCTGTGTATCTTTCCCACAAAAAGATTATGGGGGGACAAAAGGAGGACAGCCTTGACTTAAAGGAAAAAAATTACATAAAGTTATCTGTACTGCCTGGGACTTATTAATGCTTATTGGGTATGCACCCCAACTTACTGCATTTGACCAAAGCNGGGACTTATTAATGCTTATTGGGTATGCACCCCAACTTACTGCATTTGACACGATTTCACACGATTCCTTGTCTTTTAGTGATGCTTTATAATCCAAAAAAGATTATTAGTATGTGTGGCCCATTTGCCTCCTGTAATTCTGTAAGAACAGGATAGGAAGGCTTAGAGAATACTTGTACTCCATTCTGTTTTCACAGTGTTACTAATTTCCTTCCATTAAAAGCATATCTAAAATCCTTGTTCTCTTTTTAGGTAACAGTATGACTAAATACATTGAGAAGCTAGAAGAGATCAAAAAAAGTGAGTACCACTATTGACGGGTTGGCATAATGCAACCCTGTAGTAGTGCTGTAAGTTGGTTATTACAACCCTAACCACACTCTGTAGCAGACACACAGAGAGTTACGGGAGCCCACTGAGCCCGGCAGGTGGCTAGAAAGACGTGGGAAACACTGTACCATCCTGGTCAGCTGCTAGGATTGTGGCTCGTGGGCCAAACTGTGCCTGACTTAGACCCCGTAGGAGATGTGAATGCTGGGACGTAGAAGGAGCAGTGAGAACCCGAGCTGCTAATTTCATTGTGCCACAGTCTTCATGGCCTTTTTCAAGGTACTTAATCTTTCTTATTTTCTTATTTTCTCTATACCTGAGGTAGGAGTAATAATATCTTATTTCATAACATTCTTTTGAGTATAAATTAGACAGTACTCATGAAAGCCTTAGAGATGTGAGAAAGAGCTTATTCTTAAAGTGATGTTATATGTTATAAATTCATTGCAGCCTGCTTTCTTTTAATTAAAAATCATATTTCATGCACATTCTTTTTAAAAACTAATCTTCTGCAAAGATATGCTACTAGTCATTGAGTGTATTGCTCTTGCACAAAATCATAATTTTTCAGTCTGTGTCCAAAACAGATGTAAAATGTACACATCAAGGCCAGAATTAAAGCAGCAGCAGAAACATCTATTTTCTAAGACGGATTTGCTTATATCTTCAGAGCACAGTGCTAGGGGAGCATTAGCTAATGCTAGTAAAGAGGGACTCAGGCACCAGTTCAGAAGCTGGCTCTGGTATATACATCTTCTGGGAAGAGATTACTACAAATCCAGAATTCACAAGAACTTTGTTTTTACGCAGCAGGCCTTTTAATTTAAATGATAATGTTTCTGTTCCTTTTGAATTGCTGAGAAACCCCAGATAATAGATGTGGGCTCTGGAGCAGCTTTCTGCTGACTCTGCTGTTTGCCTCGTTGAGCTATAAGGGCTCATGCTGTAGAAATTTGTTTTCTAGTGTGTAATGTCACAGTAGCCTTTTCTTCTTATTCTATTCTATTTTATACATTATATTGCATTTTATGTTATATAAGCATATATTTTAAGGATATATTAAAATTTTAAACTATAAAAAAGGTCTTGTTTACTCACCTGGGCTGTACAACTGTCGTCCTTAGTTCATCCATGGCAGGGAAATTCGGCCGGCCTGCTTTGAATTCAGTGTGGAGTCTGTTTCACCTCCTGCCCATTTGTAGCTGAGTATAAAAACTCACATGTCCGCGCCGAAATTTGTCCCCTAGAAATGTTTCATTCCACCCAGATTGCTGAAACCCTGTTTATAACATTTCTTAAAAGCACAGTGTGGTTTCTTTAATATCTAAACTTTAAATGGAGCTTATCTCCCCAAAGAAATACCTCTGGAATAGAGTCCTTGAAAATGCTTTCCTCTTTACAAGCTGTGGGCTTCCTTTTAGTAAGACAGGAGGTTCCTCTCACCTGGTTTCACACACTTTGTGCTGATTGCCTGACTAGAATTACTGCAGATTCTGGTTTAGGATCTACACTTTGGACGCTGTTGCCTTCTCTTTTCCCACTTTCTGTTGTAGTGTTCTCTCGGGTCAACGGGAGGAGAACATTGCCTTGTTTAGGACACCCTAGACCCCTCGTTTCTCTCCGGTTACCTTAGATGCCATGTCTTTCTGTGAAATCACAAACCTCGTTCTGTTACTTCCTTCGATTTGTCTTCCACTGTGAACCCAACTTCCCTTTGCTAATAACGTGTTTTAACAGAACCCTGAAAACGCAGAATTCCTTTGTAATCTGAATATTCTTTCAACTCTGCCTGGGGAAAACAGACACTGTGTCTATTGACCATTTACAAAGCCTATTCTCGGCTTCTGGTGGTGAGATGACACTAGTTGGACCCAGTGTGAAACATCCTAGATAGTTAGGTCTCTGTCCTTCCAGTAACTCGAGAGAGACAGACTGAGACTCCAGACTCACTGGAGAAGCAAAACTTGATAGCTTATCTGAAACTAGGGTTAATTGTCTCCATCGCGGAGTTGGGAGAAGTGACAGGAGCAGAAGCTCCATTCTTAAGGCTCTGTTCGCCCTTGCAAGGACAGACTGACAGAGCTTTCCAAGCCATCCTTTTCTATAAACTTTAAAACTTACTATACAACGTTCTAGTTTGATCTTTTTTATCTCTGAGTAATAATGTCAGAGAGTCCTAATGATGGCTGCCCTTCTAAACCAGAACCAGGTATGTAGAGTTCAGGCTCAAATGTGCAGTGGGATTTCTAGTGCTTGGGAGAGGACACTAGAAATGTCAATCATTAGAATATAGCTGAGCTGGTTTTTTGTTTGAGGTAATTTCTACTTAGTTAAAGGGGATTTTAATGTGTACATTTGTACTTAGAATGTGAAGAATTGGAGAAGTATTTCAAACTATGTAACTATACCAAAGGAATATCAATGGATAAATGGCACAGTGCAAACTACTTGAAAGCTATTGACTGTTTTCATTGGCTGATTTATTGCCATTTTAATTTAAATAAATGACTTTTGGTGGACAGGTTGGTGGTGATTCATTTGTACTTTTTATAGCTTGTGCCCAGCCTTTTGGGTCTGCATCCTGGCGGGCTTTAGAAATTCCTTTGCATCTAGGCTTGTTACCTTGTTGTATCCAGAAGAAGCTGTTCTAAGAATTTTCTAGAAGTAATGGTCAGTTATTTGCCAGATTACTCTCTTTAAGACATTTTAGAACAGAGAATCTTTAATTTCCTGTAAGAAGGAGTATTGATATATTTACAAAGGCTAGTTTTTAAGGTAATATTTATTTCCTGACTCTGAGTCCTAAGGTGTTTGGTAAATCAAGCAAACATTATCCTCTGAAATAACTCTCCAGCCTGTGCTGGTTTTTTGGAAAATTCATAGAAATGATAAGTGCACCAGGTAAACAGTCTTAAAATACCTTAATCCTTTCCTTTGTTGCTAGGAGTCTTGGCTTACGAGACGTGTATGCTGTGAAGGCCACAGTAATTACCCAGCTAACCTTTAGTAATTCTGAAATAATGACAGTCTTTAAGGAGCCATGGGCTCCAATATGAAAACCTAGAAGAGGTATAACGGGTAAGAGTGGGAGGGGGTTCGTGCTGAAAACTTCAGAATTGGCAGTCATTTTCAGAAAAGTTTAAGGTAGCTACCTTTCAGCATGCCTCTATGGGACAGAGACTAGGTCAAGTGAGAGTGGCTGATTTTTTTAAAAACTGTTTAATGTGATATGAAGAATTATTAACACAATTACAGAAGGACCCTTGTTGGAGAAGTTATGTCTCAGAACTTTAAAGAAAGCACTGAATCAATATTGATGTTTTAGGTTAATTTCTTTTTAATTGTAAAAAACACATACCATAAAGGTTACTATCTTAACCATTTTTAAGTGTCTACAGTTCAGTAGTGTTAAGTATATTCACATTGTTGTACAGTAGATCTCCAGAACTTTTTCATCTTGCAAAACTGAATAGATTGCTTTTCATTGAAGTGGAGTTGAAGAGAATTTGACACAAAAGATGATCACGACCAGTCATAACTTTGCACCCAGCATTGTACGCCAGGGGGAAGGAAGTGTTGTCCTGTGTGTTTAGCACAGTTTGTAACCTCAGGAATATAGTCGTTATCTTTTCAGGCAAGGGTTAGACTGGTAGGGCCTAAGTGTCTTACCAGCTGTTTGACTGGGGCCACTCAGCTTCTGGGTCTCTGTCCTTGTTTATAAAATGCAGAATTATTTCCCCGTGTTCTGAAAAGGATTTAAAGCGGCTTACAGAAAGGTGGTACAATATGGCCAAAGTAGAGAGAGCATAGTAAAAGGAAAATGGTAGGCTAATAAAATGAAGGCAGGGGATAAAGTCTCTAGACACAAAGAGGTGGCTTATATATTCAACTATAGGCTTTCTACTGGCCCAAGCAAAGGGGGGGAAGTGAAGAGATGATATAATACTGGCCACTTTTAATTTTGAGGCTATCATGAGGATCAAATGAGGTAATGTATGCGAACACATATAAATAACTTGAGAAATATACCATATAACTTGATGATTAGAAAGAATGAATACCTCTAAGAAGGCAAAAGAAACCTAGAAAAATATTTGTCCTTTCCTGCTTTTCAGATTATAGATACAAAAAAGATGAGCTTTTCAAGAGACTAAAAGTTACAACCTTTGCCCAGCTGGTAAGTTTAATGATCTTCTTTAGGAGTAAAGTTTGTCTCATTTGTGCTGCTCTGTGTGAGTTTCTCTGAATTTGACTCTAGGTAATATTTGCAGAGGGATTTCTTATGATTCTTTATATTTCACCTGTGGGAGAATTAATTGGTATATGAGGTGTGCGTTCATTCAAGGATGATGTGAAAGTTTTCTCTTTTCTTTGGTAAGAATTTTAAAAAGTAAAATGTACATTCTACTTTTAAATCATCAGATTTGTAGTTTAGGTTTTTATCTTGTCCATTTAATTTAATATTTAGAACCTAGAGTTCTGGACTTGGGATTATTTGGACATTTTTCTCTGTGTAAACCGGGTGATTGCCCTTCTCTAAATGAGTTCTTTTTCCAAGTCTTTCTTGGGCTATTTTGTTACTTTGGGAAAGTCACTTCTTTCGTTTGAAAGTTACGGACCAAGAGTCCCCAAGCAAGAGTTCCATTGATGTAACTCAAGATGGATCTTGGGTCTTATGAGCTTACTTGTAAAAAGTACTTTAAAAACTATGTGTAGGTACACAGTGTTATAATCAATATGCTCATAATTACATTTATTTCTTCCTTGCGTGAAGAATTGCTGATACAATTCTGTTATTGTAAGTATTGCATTTTCAAGAAATAACATGTTATGTTGGGACTAGAATATATATGGATGCAGTTTTAGACTCTTACTCATGTTTCTTGTCCTAAATTATCCTTTTGGCCTTTTAAGCTTATTGTGTAATGTTTTAAATGAGCCTTTTCTTCTGGAATGATCATCTGCAGTGTAATTACCACTCCCAAAGTAAGGGGACCTGAGATTTAGTCTCTAGTTGAGGACACTGACAGTTTCTTAAGACAAGAGATCTTTGATGTTCCCTGTCTTTTGTAAAAGACAGGCTTGCCTCTGTTTAAAGACAAACAAACATACACACATCTACACATTTCATTCCTTTTTCTCTCAGGTCATCCAAGTTGCTTCCTTGTCTGATCAAACACTGGAAGTGACAGCTGAGGAGATCCAAAGGCTAGAAGGTAATGAGAATCGAGGCTTCGGGAATGTGGCAGGTTGACCGTTCAACTGAGGTACTCGCCCTCTGCTGCTGTGTCCCAGCGGCTTGGGACTTTGATGTACCTGTCTGTCATTAGATTGTTACTCCCTGAGAAATGCTATCTGGTACTTTGTTAATTCTTATTTCTTCAAAAAAGCCATCTGAGTGGTTCTGGCTCTATCTAGCATTTGGAGTTTTCACTGTGTTTAATATACTAATTACTTTTTTCAGCAAATATTTTTAGTGTTTTCTGTGTATGCACAGGCCCCAGAATTGGCTGCTGTGAGACTACCAAGGTGCATAGAGCCCAGTCTAAAAACCCTAGAACGAAGCTCACTCCTGACAGGTGAGAAGCCCAGGCCCAGGGTTCAGTGACTCGCTGAAGGAGAGGCAGCCAGCGAGGAGCGGCCTGGGACACGAGTCTGTGTCCCCGCAGCAGCCGGGCCGTGGCTGCGGGGGTTCCGAGGAAGGGAAGGGAGCTTCCCCTTGGAAACAGGCAGACTCGCTTCGGGCTTTTGGACTAGACCCGCGAGGCTGCTCCGGGCCGAGCAGAGGCCCCAGGGTAGAAAGCTGAGCGGAGGGCAGGGAGAGGAAGCTCCCGGTGTGTCTGGGGAATCGGAGCCAGCCTGGCTGTGTCTGAGGGAGGAACAGGTGCCTGGTAGGGGACACGGCCACACAGCAAGGCTCCAAGTCTCCCCTCTTGAACCCCGAGCTGCAATCCCAGCTCTCGGTTGCACCTCGTAAAAGGAACGCACAGAGCTAAGGTCTTCACTGTATCCCGCCGCTCTCCCCGCTCGACGTGCGGCTGTTGGTTGAAGGACAATGTGCTTTGTCAGGGCTGATGTAGGCCAGGAATTTGACTTCTGATTTCAAGACAAGTTTCTCAGGAAGTCTGAACACTGGGTTTGTGCAACTCGACTGTCATTTCCCTGGGCTTGTTTTTGTTAGCGAGGATAAAGGGAATCTGGAAAAGGCAGGAATTTATCTCTGACAGATGCCTCTCACACAGCAGAAAGAAGGGCTCTTTGTAACAGAGATAATTGAGTCTCCTCACACAAATACTCCCAATTTTAACCTGGTTATACAAGTACCTGGATTGGGTCTTTTAATTCATTATAGAGATTGCAGCGCCAGGACATATGGGCTCATGCAATTTTCTCTTCTGAGATGAATTTGCACAGCAAAATAGGCTCTTGTAAAATAGGACACCATAATGTGTGAGTAATATTAGTGTTTTTCTAGTGCTCTACACAGAATAATAACTCACTCAGGAATGCCTGTAGAACAGATTGTATCTGTTTGCATATTGGCTATCTTTGAAGGATTACAAAATCTCCTTTTATAATGTTTATTGTTTTTTCCTGACTTAAAAGTATATGTTTAAAAATTAGAAAACTACAAAAAATATATAAAGAAGAAAATTAAAATAACTAATAACCCCTGTTAACATTTTGACCTGTTTTCCCCCTATCTAACTCCCACCCAAATCCATACTCTTTGTATGTAGTTTTATATTATGCTGTTTCCAGTTAACATTTTATCATGCGTACTCTCCTTGGTCATTAAACAGACTTCCAGAGCTTCAGTGTAAAGGTCGTGTGGCCACATAATGCCTACCCTTTGGGCATACCTAATTTATTTAATTATTCTCCTATTGCTGGGGCACTATAGTTTTTCTAACTTTTCACTTTTATAAAATAATGCTGCAATGTAAATACATAAGTGTTTGTGTGGTTCTGATTATTTCCTGGTGATAAATCGCTGCAGATGGACAAGGGGTAGGACCACTGTGAGACACTCAGTACTGATTCCACGTTCTCTCCTGAGTGGTCCTACCCCTCTGCATTCCCACCGAGTGAATGAGAAGACATATTCCTCCCCATCCTAGCCAATGCTGAATAATTATCATTTTTGTAAACATTTGCCAGTTTGATAGATGAAGAATGGTATGTAATAGTTTTATTTTGAATGTCTCTGATAATGAGAGTGAGCTGTGTGTATGTGTGTGTGTGTGTGTGTTTATTGGTCATACACATTTCTGCTTTTGAGGACATTACAGGTCCTTTCCCATTTTTTTTCCTAATGGAATGTTCATCTTTTGCTTACTGATTTATGAAAGCGCTATATAATTATGATATCTTTTACTTTAGAAACCAATATAGCCTTGGAAATAAATGAGAAAAATCTTTACTTGATGATTTGGAACAATTTCCAAGCTGTATTATTAAGTAAAAATAAAACAACAAAACAGAAACCAAAGCATAGAGCAGTATGAACGGCATACTCCTAGGCACATAAAAAGGGGAGGAAATAAAATATATGCAGAAGTATGTAGTTGTTTTATTTCTGGAAGGAGACATAAATATGTGAAGCTGGTTCCCTCGGGGGAGGAGGCCGGAGGGCCGTGGGGCTGGAATCGGAAGGCAGCTTCCTTTCCACATTAATTTATCTTGTTTGCATTTTTACCTTTTACACATGATCCTTTTTTCACTTAAAGAGCTAGTTAACTTTTTTAAAACTCTGTAAATTAAGTGTATTAACCTTTTTTCATCCATATATGTTACAATATTTTTTCCTAATTATTCACCTTTTAATTTTCTTTGTGTTGGTTTTTGACATATATGAAGTTTGCATTTTACATGATTAAATCTATTAGCCTTTCATGTTTTGTTTTGTTTTATTGCTTAGATTCATAAATTCTAAAATAAGATAAATTATTTACCTCTATTTTCTTCTATTAGCTTGCTTGTTGTTTTTGTGGGTTTTTTTTAATATCAATTCATCTGTTATATATAGGGTGTCTCAAAAAATGTATGCACACTTTAACAGCTGATAACTCACTTAATTTTCACTCCTTTTCAGGTTTAAGTGATTTGAAATAATGGGTGAAGCCATTCTAAGCTTTGAACAAAGAAAATTTATCCTAAAGTGCCACTAGACTTTTTTTTCTGGGGATACATAAAAGAAAGTTTACGGTACAAAACCATCAACAGTTGATGAATTAAGGGCACACAAATACCAAACGAAATGATTCTTGATGTTTGCGATTCCATTGCTTTGAGTTATCAGCAGTGCCTGGACCAGAACAGTTATCAGTTTGAAAACAAGCGTTGACAAAAAAAATTATCTATTTCTGTGGCTTCTTTTAAATTTTGACAATGAACTGTGTGTTAATAAACGCTTTATAATCATTCAAAGTGCATATACATTTTGGGGGGACACCTTATATTTTGGTATATGATGTGAGGAGGTTATCTAAATGTGATTTTTCTAGATAGTTGACAGATTCCAACAGCATTTTTTCAGTCGTTCTTCCTTTGTCAACTGATCTGTGATGCCATCTTGGAAAAGCATTAGCTTTTCATGTATGTTCCAGGATTTGTCTCTGTGGTCTCTGTTGTGCTGATTGTAGCTCTGCATTACTTTGGTCATGTACCTTTTCAATATATGTTACTATTTGATGAGTCAGGTTCTCTAAGTTTTTATATATGTATGTAGAATTTTTTTTTTGTTCTCCTTATAGTTAAAATCCTTTTAAACTTTTTTAAAAATCCCATTGAGATTTGTATTAAGGTTAAAAATTAAATCTGGAAAAGATTAACATCGTTTAACTTTTAGTCACAAGTCAGGAATATTCAATGTATGTCACTTTCTTCATTCAGGTCTTTAATATCCCTAAGTAAACTTTTATAAGACCTATAAAGGACCTTTACATTTTTTAATAGGTTTATTTTCGAGGAGAGCATATTGTGTATCTGTAATTGTTACTGTAAAGGAGATCTTCATATTATTTTCTAATTGGTATATAGGAAAAGTATTTTGTTTGTTAGTACTTATTTTTTTAACTAACCACAATTTATTTTCCTTATTCTTACAGGATTCTCTTGAAGTTGCTCAGTATATTATGTCATATCCAAATTAAGACCTCATTTCTATTTCTTGTTTAATTATACTGGTTAGAACAGCAAATTCTCAAACTTTTGGTATCAGTCTCCCTCTACACTATAAAAATGATTGAGGACCTCAAAGAGTTTTGGTTTATGTAAATTATACCTATTAATATTTTAAACTGAAAACTTAAAAAATATTTACTTACTATTTCACTTAAAAATAACACTAAACCTATTACAAACATAAATAACATTTTTATGCAAAATAGTTATATTTCTAAAACAACAAAAAATTTACTGAGGATGGAATTGTTTTACTTTTTTTTGGTAAATCCCATTAATGTCTGATTTAATAGAAAACAGCTGATTCTCCTATCTTCTGTATCACTGTGTTGCAGTATGCTCTTTGGGTTGAAGCTTATGAAGAAAATCTGGCCACACACAGACCTGTAGTTGTAAAGGGTGGAGTGTTTTAATAGCCCTTTCAGTTATTGCAAATATTTTTCTTTGATATGACAACTGATAGTTTCCTAAAGGTTAGTTGTAATGTAGAACCTGAAACCATATTAATGAACTTTACAGACTCTGTTACATTAAAACCCATCGATCTGTCTTGCGCTTTGAATGAATCTTTTATCCATGTATGATTTTATAACATCATGCCCTGGTCGTGCAAAAATTACTGGTTCGCTGAGTTATGAAGATCTTCCCAATGTTGACAAATTTCATTACACAATATCAAAAAAAATCACATTTATCAATCTCACTGCCTATCTTATCAGAAAAGGCATTAAGTATGGGGAACAGTCAAGCTGCTGATGGCACATAGCTTCCAAAATTATGATTTTTATTCAAAATGTAATCATTGCAGCAAATGCCATCAATTATTTTCCTTGCAATGACAAATTCACTTTTTACTTAGATCATTTTTTTGGAAAATGTCTGCCGAATGCACAAGTTTAAGTAACCATAGTTTTTCTCAGTTTTTCTTTCAAGTAAAAATGGTGTTCTTGGCAAAGCAGCAATAATCAGACTAATGCTTTTCCTTGAGAGAGCCATGGCACTGGGGTATGTAGCTAACTGACCGTATGCAGTTCCCCATTTTATCACACAGAATATTAGAAAGGTGTGTATGTAAGGGTGAGATTTAATAAAATTATTCATTATTACTGCGTGATCAGGGCGTTTTTTACTGAGACTGCCACATTAACTGTGATTGTGGGTTGGTGAAAATAGAATGATTACTGAGAAAACTTAATGCCATTACCTGGTTCTTGCTACGGCACTAGCGGTTTTATCCACCATTTCATTTGCACCAGCAGGGCAAATATCAACGCAGTAAAGAGAGATAAATAAGGTCTTAGCATTATTATGAAAACAATTTTTACTTGGCAGATCCCCTGAAAGGGCCTTGGGGACCCCTGCGGTCCCCAGACAACTTTGTTTGTTTTTATTCCTCACCAGAGGATATTTTTTCATTGATTTTTAGAGAGAGTAGAAGGGAGTAAGGAAGAGAGAAAGAGAAACATCGATGTGAGAGAGACACATTGATCGGTTGCCTCCCACAAGCACCCCGACCGGGGCCAGGGGTGTAGAACCCACAACCCAGGTGTGTGCCCCTGACGGGGACTCGAACCCTCGATCCTTTGCGCCACTCTAACCACTGAGCCCCACCAGCCAAGGGCCACAGGCAGCATTTTGAGAACCTATATACTAGAATTTATAGAACAATTTAAGTAAGGTGATGTGAGTTAATTCTTGACTTAATTTCAGTGGCGCTGTCTGACAAGTCAATTCAGATTCTACAGTAAAATGTACTTATTTCTTCATTTGCAAATTTTAGATAATGATTCTGCGACTTCGGACCCTGATGCTGAAGTCACTGCCAGGACCAATGGGAAGGGGAGCCCTGGGGAGCAGTCGCCGAGCCCTGTCCAGTTCATAAATAGCGTGGGAGCAGGGGACTCCAGTCGCTCGACGCTCCAGAGGTACTCTAATCGGATTCGTGCTTTCACTGCATCCTACCTTCATATTAGGCCAGGGCCCGATTTCAGTGACTTAATTACCTTCGAAACAGATTGGCAGTGGTGAAGTCCCACATTTCCCCCAGCCTTCTACTTTCTCTTTATGGAAATGCCACCTCCTGGATCTTTTCACAGCACTTTCCTCCAGTTAACGTAAGACCCTACTGATGGGAGAGCACTCATTTTCACACCTTGCTTCCACTGCTCCCCACCCTCCTGTGTGCACGTTTGCCGTTAGGACCTAGCCTTGCCACTACTGTCTTTTGACTCAGAGAGTATGACTTTCTCCGCCTTTTCTGTCTGCTGCCCCTTATAATCACCCTGGCTAGAGTCAGAAGGAAAATAGATTGGCGCACATATGCTCTGGTATTAAACAGGTGTAAATAAAAGTGAGGGCAGCCCCTGGGTCGATTCTCCAGCTGCACGTGCCTGGTCTTATTCCATACACTGTGACGCAACACTTTCTCACAAACACTAACAGCTGGTGACAGGGCAGTGCTAATTTTCAGCACATACCCATCCCTTCTACTAGTAAAACAGTTCAGCTAGTGAAAGAATTGCTATCATCTATACCACTATTATTATTTTTATAACTGTTCTTGCGCAAGGACTCTAAAATTACATTCAAAACAAGATAGGCCAACGAGACTTCCACTGAGGATAGAGTTCCTTTTCCTTTGGTTCAACGAAATATGTACTACATGGCCTGTAGTTCTAATGTTTATCAGATTTAAATGCAGGATTTGATTTGCTGTGATGGGGGAGGAACGGTACTATATGCCAATCTGTGGTTTGGCTGATATGTCTTCATATTTGCCTGGGAAAGTAAGCATCTTCTAATAGAGCCATTTTTGTTCATAACAACTACTCTTCTTATTCCTTTGGTTCATGTTTTAACCACATTTTGCCTGTAATATTAATATGATGACCAATTTTAGTGATTTTATGAACCTTAGAATGGAGCTGTCAGTGGTAAACGCCCTCATTTTAATCCTAGCTTTTCCAGTGTCTGATTGTATGAGTGTCACCAAATCTAAAAGCCTCTTTTCAACCTCAACATGGTAACTTATAAAATGGAAGTAAGTACAGGTAACTACTGAAAACATTAAGGTTCAAAACCCATATTGGATAGGTTGCCATATGAAAAATTAAAACATTATTGTCACTTTCCATTACATATAATACACATAGAAACGCCTTCATTTAGCCTGTCCTATCCGCCTGTCCTTTCCCCCTTTGCTCTGCTTCCTTGTGCCCCTCAAAATTCCAGTGGATTAATTGTTCCCCTCTTCCTTTCTCTGAATGCTGCCTTGGTTGCTGGAGGCAGCATGCGCCCTACAGTTCCTACCCCTCAGCCACGCTAATGACCCAACATACATTGTCTGAAGGTGAGTGTGGACCTGTGAGTCCTCCCTTTGGGGTCCAGTGAGATAGAATAGGAATCCATAGGGTCTTATATTCAGAGGCAGAACTGAGAAACTGTATCCATTTTCCTTTTTCTTTGAAGTGTCTTTTAAAAAGACACTGAGCACTCTCTCGCTGTTCTGAAGAAACACAGTTGACCTTTAAGCCACCAACCCCTGACTAGTGTCTGCTGACCTACTTTTCCCCTTGCAGCGTCATCAGTGGTGTTGGGGAACTGGATCTAGACAAAGGGCTAGTGAAGAAAGCAGAGCCCAACACCAAAGACAAGCCTTATCCCGACTGCCCCTTCCTGCTGCTAGATGTGCGCGATAGAGACTCTTACCAGCAGTGCCACATTGTTGGAGGTAAGAGAGAGGCGGCTTTGTAGTGCCTCACTCCCAAGAACACAGCCCATTCTCGCATCCCGGCCTCCTGGACCACATCCCATGGTCAGCAGTTAAGGAACCATGTGTTAGCCTGATCCATTATGGAAACCTGTGAGTTGGCTTTACCATAATGCTCTGAGATAGGCTGGTGACCTCAGATGGCTCAGGGGCCCAGTGCTAAACATCAGAAACAGTCAAGTGAAGCTTCATATTTTGTTTATAGTGTCCTGTTTCTTTTCTTTCACGAAAGTATTTAGGTTTATGGCTTGTTGATTTTGAAAATATATTTCTTTTAACTCTTAGTTCGACTTTAAACCAACTGGGGAGCAGGGCCAAGTTGTACGAGGTGAGCTGCAAACTTCCTAATTTTCCTTTCTTTACAGCTTACAGTTACCCAATTGCAACTCTGTCTAGAACAATGAACCCGTATTCAAATGATATTCTTGAATATGTATCCTTTGTTGCATTTTACGGAGTTGGGTGATGATGAGGATTGTAAGAATCAGACATCACGAATCACGCTTCTGGTAGGAAAACTCTGTGAAGGACTTTTGATGATAATTAGCTTACTTAGCATACTTTAGAATTTGGATTCTTAGCTGTTACTGAGTATGCTGACCATGAGGGCAGATGCTTCCAAGCCACACTGCACTGGGCCAGAGAACATCAGGTTAAAGATTATGACCCATTAAGAGTTAGTCCTGCCCTGGTTGGAGTGGCTCCGTTGGTTGAATGTCGTCCCATGTACGGAAAGGTTGCGGGCTCGATCCCCGGTGGGGGCGTGCAGGAGGCAGCCAATGGATGTTTCGCTCTCACATCGGTGTTTCTCGCTCTCTTTCCCTCTCTCTTCCTCTTTCTCTGAAAATCCTTTTAGAAAAAGAGATAGTCCTAAGACTTTTTTCCCCTAGAAGCTTTCCCAAGTAAAACTTACAAAGTAAGTTTTCTTCCTTCTATTTTAACTTTTCTCTTCTTATAATTTTTTGTTCATAAAAATCATACAAGTAGAAAATAATTTAAATACCAAAATATGTGAGAAAGAAAATTGAAATCTTTGCTAATCACCCGTTTGAACAACTCTTTATTACATTTTTTGTATATTTTATTCCAGACCATCTTCTATGTATGTTTTAACAAAGTAGAAGTCATACTGTATATATCTTGCTTTACACCAGTTGATATTACAGTGTATTTTGCCATACTAACACACACTCTATATAAACTCCATTTTTGATACAGTGTAAATGTCTTCAGATTTATTATAATTTACTAAACTTTTCCTCTCTATTGTACTTTTACGTGATTCTCATTTTTTTACTATTATAAACAAAGCTGCATCAGAACATATTGAACATAAAAGTTTTTCTGTTTCCTGGCCTGTAAAGTGGAGCTTGTAATGCTTTCCAGGGTTGTGATGATAACAGAGCTGAAGGGTGTACAGTGTACCCAGTGCTGTCTTGGACCACGGTAATATTAGTTCATTAAAAGAGAAGAATACCAGCGCGTGTGGTTTCCATGACAGGAAGAAATCTAGTAACTGCCAGTGTGATGGGTAAAGAGAGGGGTCGTCTGATGTTCCCCTGAACTGAGAAAGGTGAACTTTGACAGCTGTTTGTGCCTTGGAGGTTTCCTACAGCCTAGCAGTATTAACTCGGTGTGGTCAGACCTTAACCCGGCTAACTCAGAAAAATGCCCACGGCAAGATCATCATTCTGTATGACGACGACGAGAGGCTGGCGAGCCAGGCGGCCACCACCATGTGCGAGCGGGGCTTCGAGAACCTCTTCATGCTTTCCGGAGGTGAGCGGGCCCGGGTGCTCCCAGGCCGTTCGTCCTGCAGCCCCACTTTGCCGCCTTTATCCGCAGAGTGGCCAGAGCTCAGTGCAGGCGTACCTCGGAGGTACCCAGACCACCACCACCGCAGAGCAAGTATCGCTGCAAAGCGAGTCGTAATCTTTTTGCTGGTGGAGGGTCTGGCCTTCAATTTGTAAAAAAAAAGAAAAGAAAAGAAAAATCTGTGAAGTGCAGCAAAGCGCAGTGGAACGAGGGCTGCCTGTGTTTCGGGGAGAGAGAGCACGGCTGCGAGGAGGCCGCGCTCTCAGAAACATCCGTTAGCTTTATCAGCGCATGTTTCAAATTCCTGAAATACTGACTTGCGTCAGGGCTCGGTGAGAAAGCCTTGATGCTGAAGACTTAAGCAGAAGGATTTCTGGTGGAATTCTCAGAATCCCACATAACAAGCGACATTTTCTGGTGTAATTTTCTTAATCGTGAAGCAGTTAGGAGAGATTTCCCGTCTTTGTGTTGGCCTCGCCTTGGAGACCAGAGATTAGGAGACACGCAGGCTCCTTTTCAGGTTTTGCCCTGGCCTCGCAACGTTAACGCTGCTTTTTCTGTGATCTTCCACACCTAGGTTTAAAAGTCTTAGCTCAGAAATTCCCAGAAGGACTGATTACGGGTTCCCTGCCAGCATCTTGCCAGCAAGCCCTTCCTCCTGGTTCTGCCCGGAAACGATCCAGCCCCAAAGTGCCACCCCCACCAGCAGAGAATAAATGGAGATTTACCCCAGAAGACCTAAAAAAAATAGAATATTACCTGGAAGAGGATCAGGGTCCTGCAGACCATCCCAGTAAGACACTTTGACCTGTAGAGAGAATGCTTTCTGTAGAGCTTGAGATTTATGATCGTTTATAATATATTCAAAGTCTTAAAATATTTGTGTTTGGGGTTGCAGGTGCTCTGCAGGGAGGGGGGCAAGTGGAGGTGATCCCAAATTGTGACAAGAATTAGGCATTGTGCACAGACATAGAAGAGAGTCTATGTTGGGAGGCAGAGTTGGGAGGCTAAGCTAAGGCATTCAGAGTCCTTCTTGGAAAGTTTTCATTCCCTTCCGCTGCTTCTAGGCACATCAAAACCACTCTGGCCTTTCCTTTGCACGCTGCTTCCTCTTCTATGCCCCCTTCTCTAACAAGAAGGAAGGTGGGAGAGGCCAAGTTGGCTGGGAACAATGGAGACGAAGAAAGAAAAGCTATTAGGGCTTCCTTTCATCCCTTTTCCCCACCTTAAGTTGATGGCAAGGATAAACAATAGGTTTTTAGCCTTAAGTAAATGCTGAATAGGCCTTTATTAGCTTAAAAGTGGTTGTAGCGTAAGACTTCATTAATTTAACAGTGTACTTGGCAGATTGTCCCCGAGATCACTCTTGCAGCTCCGCTCCCGCTTCCTTGCTCCCTCCAGGCCGGCTGAGCCAAGTCAATGCCTCCGGAAGAGACTCCAAGGTTCCAGGCGCCCGCAGCAGTCAGAACCTGCCCACCGGGGCCCCCGCCGGCCACCAGAACCCCCGCTCACAAGGCAGCGGCCACCTGCAAGGCAAACCCTGGAAGTAAAGACTTTGTCTTACTCAAATAAATGTTTTCTCTCCTTTCGGAACCCCTGAGCAGTTCCCCAGTCAGTCATTTTCAGAAACTGGTGCAGAGGAAAGACCACGCATGGCATGTGCAATAGGCCCCTTCCCTCCTGCTGTCTCCAGCTCCTGTCCCTCATCCAGCTCGGGAAGGGTTTGGACACAACCAGAGGCAGATCAGGCTCTAGTGTCTGCGTGATATCCATAGAATATTTACATCTCTGAAACAGAGTCAGAAGAAAGTCTCATTTGGGGGCTTTAATGTGTTCTAATAAGGTGCAGCTTGTTTTGGTCTGTATCCTGCGTTGTTTTGTAAATACTTCAGTTATATCTGATGTGTTCCTCCCAACCAGTTCTTTTTCACTCACGTTCTTGGTTTCATGAAGGTTCTTCAGGTAGGCTTTGCAGCCTGAGAAGCTGGCCTGGGGGTGCCAGTGATTCTTGGCTTTCAGCCTCCCCACCCCCACCCCGAGTGGGCCCACTGGCTGAGGCGCTCTTCCCAGCACTGGAAGCAGGCTCTGTCGTGAGTTTGGTACCCGCAAGCATCACTCAATTTTAAGGTTCAGTAAAGCAGCGCTCACGCTTCCTGAACCTTCCTCCTCACTGCGCGATTCCCGGAGCCAGCAGTGTTGATAGGCGCTCAGCTGCCTCCCACAGGGCATGGCCCGCACCGAGAGTCCTCGACAGGGCTGCTGAGAGCCTTTGAAGCCCCCTGGAGCTGCCCCTCATTGGCGTATCAGTTATGAATTTCCACTCCCCAGCTCGGGTCCATCCACCTTAGATGGGCAGAAATTCTGGCCACTTGAAAACATCAGCTTCGGGTGGGCCGCCGAGGGCACACAGGTGAGGACGACTCCAGGGTCCTTTGTCGGAACTGACAGCCCCTTAAGCCCTTGCTTAAAATACAGTATTAGTCTAATTGAGTAATTAGTGCAATTTCCTACTTACTTTTCATTCTCATGACTGAGCTGTGATTAGGAGGTTGTGATTATAGATTCTGGTTTGGGCCAGAATTTTGAATCAGCATTAATTGAATTGCTAGATGACTGACATTCATTCCATTTAATTGGGGGAACAAAAGACCTCAGGTAAGGATGAGGAACTCTGAAATCATCAGGAAAGGGAAAAGAGCCTTGTTAATTTTTATGGTCTGTGATCTGTAGCTGTGATAAGGAACTGAGGAATAAATTGTGCTTTTTGTCATGGCAACCAGCTTCTGAAAAGCCAACTGAAAATTGCCTATCCTTAGGTGGTTACTGCTGCTGCGTAAGATTTGCCTTAACGGCACTATTTTCTCGCCATAAAAAAAAAACGTACCACAGTATTTCTAGCGTGGGGGGCTGTGTTTGTAAGAGAAGTAAAGGTAATAAATATCTCATAGAGAATATGGAAAAATAACTTTCAGATTCCGCCCGGTTCTGTTTTAGTATGTTTATTTCTCTCCACTCGATTTCCAAAGTACAGCATTTTCCGATGCTTTAAAAATCAAACAAACCAGCGACATTGTTCAGATGTGAAGCCGTGCCCGGTTTTCCACAAGATTCAAGAATCTTGTATAAAATTCAGCCAACGTACACATAGCTTTAATGAGGAGCCTGTCATGTTTCCCCATAAATTTATTGCCTGAGAACTTAGTTCAGCCTTTTGCTAATGCCAAAATGCTCTGGCTTTTTATTTTCTTTACAACATAAATTTTTTTAAATGCAAATTTTTCCACACTCAACTTTCCCCTAGCATGGACAAGATTTTCAGCCATTTTTGACACATATACATTTTTAAGAAAAAAAAAAAAAAAAAT